AATACACGTTAGGTAATGAAGGAAATCAATAAACCAGGGAGGGCAACGAGACGCACACACAAGACAAACAATTTGATAAAGGTCGTTTAGGTGCTCATGATGAAAAATTAAGTAGATACTATTGTCCATGTGAAGTAATCTGTTGGGCACATGGGATGATTCAGAAATGGCAATCTCAGCAAGTGAATGGATTATCCACAAGGGTTCGAATCGACAAGTGCACTAATGATTGAGCTCATTGCAGAAAGATTGACTTAATTATTAAATGTGCGTGTGAACTAATGTGAAAATTCCATCCTGGATATTATTAATGCTATTTGTCAGTGCTTGTGTGTTCAACAATAGTACATTTATTCCTTAGACCCCCAAACACTACAATGTTCGTCCAATTAAAATCGCAACTCTACAGTTAACATTTTTGGGAGAGGACATGAGAATTATGTGCTGCACTAACTACTTCGTGGCCCAGGTAAAGGATGTATTTCTGTTCAATGTTATGCAGATTTGACAATTCTCACAAGGAGTGGGGACAAATTTAGTTTGAGCTATTCTTCATTTAGAAATCCTAAAGCATCCAGTAAGTTAGAACCTGATTGTCAATGGTACATTTCACTGTCCTTACTTGAATTTCGACGATGTGAGGTTCTACGGGTCGAGAGACAGAAAGTAACTCTTTTAGTACTTCACACTTACCAGCCCAATCACTCCACATATTTCCTTGATATCCTGATTAATTAACTCTATCTTTGACTTCATCTACTCATTTCTAAGTAGCTCTTAAAAAGACATGCCTCTGTAAAGAAAATATTTAACCCGAAGAACACACCGTAGAAACATAGTATTTAAATAAGAAAAGTTCTCCTCAAATTTCATAAATTTCAGTTAGGGAAGATAAAAATAGGTGTAGGGTAAACACAAAATTGGTGAAAACATCCTTCAAAGGACTATACATGGCACATAAGAATAAAATCTCCCTCTTACCTTCAAGCAATGGAGAAGAAATGAAAGTTTCGAGCAGATAGAGTTGGCATAGTGTGATTTTAATAGTGTCAATTTAGAATACCACAGGCAACTCTTTGATTTCACATAGTGGTGTGACCTTGTTGACAAGGCGTTACCAACCGTCTCATTTGTCAGCTTTTAACCAATAAAACTTAATCTTTGGTAAACACAAGTTTAATCACTTTTATTTTGTGCAGCTTCCAGTAGAGAAGTGATTTTTAATGGAGGATTTTACATTTATTATCAAAGATGGTGATCGAACGAAAACGATTACACTGAGTTGTGATCCCCAAAGTGAGGAAATTGATGAGATTAAGGAGAAAATTGAAGGCAAATACGGTTATCAAGTAAAACGTCAATGTTTTCATTATCGAGGAGAGGAAATGCACAACGACAACATTTTAAATGATTTTAACATTGATAGAAGTGAGCACATTGATGTGAATATCATACCAGCAGCATTTATTGAAATTGTGGGACCGGATAAAACGATTGAAGTGGACTACAATTGTTATGACCGTGTGCAATCTCTATTTCAACAAGTGGCCAAATCATGGGGGTTAGAGGAACAACAAATTGCCCTAGTAAACTGGAAAAATTTGAAATTGTTGGACAAACGTCAACTATTGAGTGATTACCAAATAGATGGGAACGATGAAAACAAACGCAGGGTGAGGCTACGCATTCAGCCAAAGGATACAATAGAAATCAAAGTGTATAGTATAGATGGCGGAGCTCATAATATTACAATATCAAGTTCCGACAAGGTACTCAAATTAAAAGAGAAAACTGGCCAATTGGAAAACAGAGATACGAACAGTATTCAAATAATGTTCCAAGGAAAACAACTCAAAGATGATGACATTTTGAATTCATTGGGTATTGTAAATGGTACCCATTTATATTCACAAAGTAGAATTATAGGTGGAGGACAAAAAATATTCAAGTTGTGCTTTTCTTAAGGAATATTTTCATGAATCAATACTTGGTAACCTACAATTACGTGTCATTCCTATAAACGTATACCATATTTTGTGAGAGGTTTGTTGTTTATTTCAATTTTTAGTTAAATAAATGGATCTTTGACCATTATTTTTTTTAGTTATTACATTTTTATCTGTTTATGTCCACAATTAATCCATTTAAATCATCATTTATTTGTTAACCAATATAATATAACATCTAATTTTCGACATTCCTATTAGATGTGGATACTATAATTTATGACAAATCGGATCAAAATATACAGATAGTGCAATAGCGAGAGTGACCACAAAAACATGTCTTTCAATTTGGGTCTCTAAAAGTAGGCCTTAATTCCACCACTTTCTAACTAAAAAGAAGAGTCCATGTTTCCGTTAGTACTGCCAATGTTCTAAAATTGTCTCAATCAAATTTTCGTTTGCTTTGGTCAACCAAATACCCAATATAGAAAACACATATGATTCCATTGTAAATACGTTTGAGACATAAATTTTCAAAAGCAGATTTTATTGTGACATTTTAACGTAAACATTCACTGTTCGTATAGATAAAAAGGACAAAATACCATAAGGATGGTCATAAAATTTCTTACCACTTATTTAAACTAATACGTCGGTCCAACCTACTGGGTAACTATACTACTCATATGTTAAAACTTAAATAAATAGAAAACACGGTTTCGTTTATTCAATCATAACATAATGTAACTTTTAAAAGAAGTATAAATGTGGTGTCTCTACTCAAACAAAACTTCACTCCTCTGCACCCAGTCCGAATGTTTCATCTGATTCAAACCAAGATGCTTCGGATGCAACAGCAGCAACAGTTGACGCTGATAGGGTTATCGCGTGGTTTCTGGATGATCTGGTCTGTCTTGTGCTGGTACGAGTATTGGTTGGGGGACCACGGTTGGCATTACCTGTACTCGGTGTTTTTCGAACATTTGGTACCTAAATATGCCGGGTTTTAAATGTGTCATTTCCATTGTTGTCCCATATTGTTCCCAGTACCCATAATTTTTCTTATGATTCCATTATTGAAGTACTGCTTACCTGACGTTCGTGATATCAGTAAATACTTACATTCATTTCCGCACATCTGTTTCAATCGAATTCACTTACGATTTCATTGCTACTTATTCTAACAAAATAGTAACCACTTAAAGGAAAGCCTGAAATCTGGCGCTCTGCTAAGAGTAACATCGTAGGCACTCAAGTTTGTTGACACTATAGAATGGAAAACAATATGCTGCAATTGCGCAATCACAGATGCTAGCTCACAGTCTAAATGGTTGCAGAGCTTTAACCAATGAACAACAAACCATAGTGAAATGTGTAACTTCTTATTTCTCTTTCTGAAATGTTGGATACGACGATGACAAGATGCCAATTTTCACTTAAATGGTTTCGAATAAATCAGAAATCATTTGCACTCACACGAATTTGGGGAATTCCATGTGCATTTGGTGTGCGGGTTGCCAAGTGTAGCTTTGAGGCACCACCTCTCTCAGGTGTTGCATCCAGATCCACTGTTCCCATTGAATCAAAATGAGACATTTCGGTTTTTCGCTCTTCTGGAGTATCCTCTACTTCTGACATTCTTTCTGGAGAAATTAGAAGCACCCGACGTCGTTTGCACTCAGAACCAGGTTGCTTAAGTATACTCTTGGGAGTTTTCTGAGGTGTCTTCAACAGTACCTGCCGAATTTATGTGAATTAGATAACTCCCAATAAGTGACCTTAAGTCTCGTTCAAGTTAGTAGGCTATTACAACACATAACCATTTGCTTGATCTCTCTCAATTAATAATAGATATTAATAAACACACCGTCAAAGATGCTCTAGACTTTGACTTCTTTTGTTTGAAATATGCTTCACTGACTAGAAGAAGCAGTAGTTTGAACAAAATTCTACTGCATGCAATTGATGCGAAAAACTCTACCTTTGTTACATTTCCTGGGTCTCTAACGCCTCTGACAAAATACATTTTTACTTCAGCTTAGAACTCCAAAACAGAAGCCAAAAATTCCTTAACGACATGAATTCCCAATTCATTGCAAAATTTTAAACCTCATAAAGGTAACTAAATCATTACGGCACAAATTAGTCAACTTATCCTAATGATCGGAGATGATGTAGGCAGTATTGGTTTTCATTAGTTCCAACTTAGTGACTAGCACTAACTCAACAGTATGTCAGAACCATCGTACCCTTGTTTACTTCAACTCGTGTCCTCCATAATTGTACGAATGGAATGAAACTGAAAGATTTTAATTAGTCTAATGAATATATTTATATCCTCACTAGCTTTAGAGTGCACTAATTTGCAACCATCAAGTGGGAAGTGAAATGTGGAGAGAATGTAATGAGCATTCAATGCACTTGATAAACTCCTCTTAGTCTTTTTCCGTTGTCCATAAAGCAGCTAATATCTTATGGTCTCCCTCGTAAGATGAGTGCCAAATCAGCCTTAATCTTGAGTTGTAGCACCTACTTAATCACCTGAACCAACCATCAACTGACAAAGCTAACCATGAAAGCGTAATATATCACCAGATAATTTTCCACCTCAAGTCCATAGACGAGTTCCAATCTCCCTCCCTCAGGGGTGCGCAATAGACTTACCTCCGCGTGGTGCACCCTGGG